TGGGGGGCGGGGGGGGGGCGGGGAGCCTGGGTCCGGAGCAGGGGAGGGGCAGAGGCGCCGGTGCTAGCTGACCCACAGGAAACGAGCGCTGCTGACCTAGTTTGGGACACCGGAAGTGGGTGCTGGGGAGAGGGGGAGACCAGCAGGCTGTCCTGGCTTCCGGGCCAGGTGGAGGGCGTTCTTGAATTGACCCCCACCCGAATGCCTTGGAGACCCCTAGCTGCAGCCGAGAATGGGAATGAGTCAGCGCTGCTATTCCCCCTTCCCCCAACTTATTCCTGGAGGAGGGAGACCGTTTATCACGGCAGAGGGGAGCCAGATTGGGTTGCGAGGGGTTAAACCAGGATGGGAACTCTCTGTTCCATGAGGGAGTATGTGTGTGTGGGGAGGTGAGGCCTGGAGGATTATGGGGTTGCCTCCTTCTGCCCCACACACACCAACTGGTTTGGTCACCCCTATACCCGCCTGGCACTGCTGGGAGAGCTGGCATGTAGTGGGCATCAGGTTGGGAGGAGAGAGTGGGCATAAGGAGTGTTGTACTGGGCTGTCAAGGGACATATTTGTGACTAGGTCTGGGTGGTAGTGAGTATTCCTCCTTAGTGGTGACTGGGGAGAAGGGCAGGGGGCTCCCCCTGGAGCAGCTGATGAAACAAGGCGAAATCTCTGTCAGTGCCTCCTGTCCCTGGCCCCAGGAGCCCTGGCTCCCCCAGCGTGCCTCTGTTGCATGGTTGCTGTGGGCGCGACACAGTCTGCTGGCACCCCCAGACACTGTCCCCTCCCTTGGGTACCACACCCCCCCAGCCTTGGCACAGAGGTCAAAAAGGGGTTAATACCACTAGAGAGGGGCACTGGGGATGAAAGAAGGTAGTACCCATTGGGCTCAGGTGTCAAGGAGAGAGGCTGCTCTGATGGGACGTTCTCATCACTTCTCAGCCCTGGCTGATATAGACCCCAGTGTCTGGGAGACAGGTGCTGTCCTCTTCCCCCTCCCCATGGTGCCCCCTGGCACCCAGGGCCCCCAGCTCCTCCTTGGCCTTGTGCCTGCCCAGGGAGGGCGCGGCGGGCAGCGGGGGCTGGGCTAACAATGCACCATCAGGCCCTTTGTGTGCTTGCACTTGGCACCCTGGGGAAGGGTGGGGGAGGGGGCCCAGCAGGCATGGGGGGCGGAGCGCTCTGGGGTGGGGACAGTGAAGGCTGGGGGAGAGAAGCAGAGAATGAAAGCAGGTGGGGAGGAAAGGGAAGTAGGTCAGATAGGGTGCCGGCCCCCCATTCCAAGCCAAGGCTGAGAGACCCAGCCCCTGATCCTATGGCTGCCTGGATGGCATCATGCTGGCGTCTGAGGCACAGCCTAGGACTGGGCATTTGGGGTCAGAAGTCACTGCCCAGGGGACTGCTCAGATGGAGGAGGCTTGGCCTGTTACTGCCCCCTTCTTGATGGCTGAGAGACCCAATTCTCCTGGCCCAAGACCAAGGCCCCAAGATGGGTAGTGAATGGGCTCCAGGGAGGGCACTGCCCTCTGATAGAAGCCTCTGGGCCTGCTTCAGGGCTTCCTGCCTCCAGCCTGCTTGGCTCCCTGACCTTCCTGAGAGTTGAGACTGCCCTGACACAGGGCCTTGAGGCCTATGCCTGTTTTGGCTTGGGGCTGAAGAGGCAAGTGGGGGAGGAAGGTGGGGACAGGCAGACGAATAGGACCCTGGCATGGGGTGTGCCCGCCCTGGCCTCTTCCCCCTCCTTCTGCTGAGTAAACTCGTGAGTAAACTTGACGTTTTGCCCGGACAGTTTGAAGTTGCCTCGCTGTCCCCCACCCCCCAGTCCTGCCAATATACAAGCGGCTAGGTGCCAAGGCGGGCCTGGGGGACTAGGAGGAGGGGGATAGAGCTGCTGTCATCCACCACGAAGGGTTACAGGGGACAAAAAAGACCCCCCACCCAGCCAGGCCCAAGTCTTGGCGAGAGTCTTGGCTGAGACCTGTCAGCATCTGTCCCAGAGCCTTGGGGAGCCCAGGGAAAGTAACCTCGAAGCAGGTCCTCTGCCCACTTCTGACCTTCACCCCCGCTAGGGAAAGGCACCCAGATGCCATCTGGCCCCCTGAGTTGCCATCTTTAATGTCCACAGACTGCCTGGCACAGGGAAAATGCTACCTTTAGCAACTTCCCCAGGGAGCCCAGAGGGAACTGCCCTCTTCATTCTGCCCCACAGCCTGCTCTCTTCATTCTGCCCCACAGCCTGGGATGGGCATCTTAGCCCTCTCTTCCCTGAGATCTCCCTCCCAGCTGCCATGGCCTCTGCTCTGAAGGACAGCATTCTCATGTGCCAGCACCCTTCCTTGACCTCACACCTGGGCCTGATCCCACATATCCCTCCATTGTATTCACCATCAGACTGGCCCTGACCTCCCCAACCCCTTCCTCTGCCTGCTACCTTTCTCAGTCAGGTCAGCCTTCAGAGCTTCCCAGCCAGCAGATACCTGTGCTAGATCTAGGGGTTGCGGGTGCCCCAGGCGAAAGAGGGCTGATGGCAGCAAATGGAGCCAAGTGACCCCCCCAAATATCAGTGTGCTACCATTTGACGTCACTGATTCCTCTTATGCCTCCCCAGGTCACCAGAATGATGGGGGAAATGCCTTCCCTGTCTCTGCCAGGTCTCGGAGTGGGGCTCCCCCAGGCCCTTGCTTTCGACCTCATGTCTCTGGCTTCAGTTTCCTTCCTGTTTCCACCCCCCCCCAACTCCTCCCCACCCATATGTCCCTTTCAACAGACATCCTCTCCTCCTTCCTTCCTCCTTTCATTCCCCTTTGCCTGGGAGCAGGGGTCCTCTCCCCTAACCATGGACCTCCTAGCCTTTTACCTCTTCTTAAACCCAGTCCCCTTGGAGATTCCTGACCTAGTCCTCTGAAGAAGAGAACCCAGGGATTCTCGAGGGAACTACAACTCCCAAAGCACATGCAAAGCAACTGTAGTGCACACTGGGAGTTGTAGTCCTTCAAGAGCTCTTAACTTGGCTGAGCCTGGAAATAACTTCAGGATAAGCGTAAAAGCCATGGCTGGGATGGGTTGGAACAGGGGCACCCTCTGCATCCCCCTGCTGTGTTCTTGCCATCCCGTTCCCATTTGATACCATGTACCCATGATTGACATCCATCTCCCCTGCTGAGACATGCTACCCATCCTCACCTTAGGGCCCCACCTTAGAGATGCCCACACCCTGCTCTGCTGCCCCTGGCGGGGTGAGATGGAGGGGCCCCATGAACTCAATCCCTGTCCCCTGCCCTCTAGGCTGATTCCCTCCCTTTATGGGGATCAAAGGGCAGAGAGCAGCCCCACCCCACTCCCTCACAGGCTGTAGGCACTAGGGCTTTCAGGAATCGCAGGGACTTTGGTGCCCAAGCATTTGCTTGGGCAGGGGAAATGCCGGGAGGTTGGCGCCTGGTGGTAGGGAGAGACACTGGCCTCCACCCTGGGGTGTGGAGCACTCAATAACTGCTCATGGGCTGTCCATAGCCTCCTAGACTCTCTTTGTGGAGGTCTTGAAGGGTGTGTTACCTCTTGAGGAGGTGGCTTGAAAACAGGGTCTTGGGCCTTATCTGTAGGGCCTAGGGCCTGGGCCCGCCTGTCTGGCACCAAGGCCCAGGGGTGACCATCCCCCACCCCAGGCCCATAGTTGGCATGGGGCGCTGGGAGCAGGGGGGTAGGAGGGAGAGAAGGGCAGGACTGCCAGCATCCTGGTGGGTAGGTGCCAACCGGGCCGGGAGCTGGTGAGGGGCAGCAGGCCAGCGGCATGGAGCCAGCAGCTGTTGGGGGGAAAGGGGAGGGGATTCTTTAGGGGGCATTTCTGTGGTTCCCCCCACCACCCTAACAGGACTTGGGATGGCCTAGTGTCTGGGGGACACGAGGTCACCCCTCGTTCTGGGAAGAAGGGACCCCAGGAGTTGTCTGAGTGAAACTTTGTGGCCCACCTATCTCTGGGCTCAGAGCCCTCCTGAGTTGCCCCTCAGGCCCAGGCGGGTCCCACCCAACCGGCCAGGGTGGCAGCAGCTTGCGCAAGGGGTGGGGCTAGGCGCTTCCCAGCAGATGCCCCCTCCCGGCTCCTTCCTCTTTCGGTGCCCACAGCTCCCCCAATCTGTCTACCCCCCTCAGGCCAGCTCTGTCCCCCTGATCCCCTGGCTATTGGGGGCTGGCACGAGTGCTGCCCCCTGGCCTGGTTGGCAGGGTTGGTGCCCGGGCAAGGAACTGTGGTATGTGAGTGGGTTTGGGGTGAGGCTATGGGGAGGGCGGGGTGCTGCCTTGCCCAGCCCCCGAGGGCCCCAGCCCAGTACAGGGTAGGGAGAATTCGGCCAGCTCCCAGGGGGGCTTAGGGGCCTACTGGAGTCTGGAGGGCCTCCTTGTGGTCCCTTATCCCACATGGCCCTAGGGGTTGGAACATGGGCACCTGTCACCCTGGCACTGACTGTCCAGGGTTCCCCTCCTCCCTCTTCTGGCCACTTCTGCCTCCTGTCCCCTCCCCTCCCTTCTTCCTTCTCCTGGTCCCACCTCCAGCGGCCTCTCCCATTGCTCCTCCTCATCTCTGTCCTCCTGGACTGTCCCAGCGCCTACCTTTCCTACCCCTCACCTTTTTCCCCCTTTAGGCCTGAGTAAGGACAGGCGGGGGTGGGTACAGCTGGGGCTTCAGGCACCACAGGCAGAGACTCTGGGCCCTCTCCCACGCCACCAGCCCTCCTGTAACCCCTCCCTCCAAGCTGGGGGGAGGGGGACAGCACCCAGAGGGTTAAGACTGTAGGGGGGAGGGGCTGGGCCAGGTCGTGGGCGGCCCCTTTGAAGGAGGGAGCTGGAGCGGGGAACAGCCACCCTACCTGCCCCCCAGCCTGGCCCTCCCCCACCCGTCCCAGCCTGCTGCCCCCAGGGGCCAGGAGAAGTTACCGGCAAGGCCCCTCAGCATTCAGGTGAGTAGGCCCTGCTCTGGCTTGGGAGATCAGGCCCCAGGGGTGCTCGGAGGCCTAGTATTGGCCAAGGGTCAGAGGACTGAAAAACAGGTTAGGAAAAGGGTGCTCAGACTTCACTGGGGGATTTAGGGAACTGAGGGTCTGAGGGGCTGGGGTATAGGGAGACTTCAGGGTCTAAGCGGACCCAAGGATGACCAGGAGAGGCAGAGGAAGAACCTATAGGAGCCGAGTGATTGCCGGGCCAGGCCAGGAGGTTGGACAGGCTGGCAGGGAGCCGGGCTCCGGAGATCAGGCTGGGGTGTCCTCTGGGGCTGGGGGGCTCAGGTTTCTGCTGGCGGCTTGGCGGGTGTGGGGTTACCAGCCAGCTCGGTTACCCAGCCGGAGACACTAGGCTGGGGGAGGGGGTGGGCACAGGGCAGACCCTGGCACCTAGTGCAGTCTCCTAAGGCCCTGAGGAGAGCTGGCCCTGCCCAAGCAGACCCTGCTGAGAACCCCAATGGCCAGGATCTGTCCAAGTGGACAGTTGCCTGGCCTAGGGTGGGCCCTCTGGGAAAGTCCAGCCGCTCCAGGGCTGGAAAC